TTTTTTTTTTTTTTTGATATAGGGTTTCTCTGTGTAGCTTTGCACCTTTCCTGGAACTCACTCCATAGACCAGGCTGGCCTCGAACTCATAGAGATCCGCCTGGCTCTGCCTCCCGAGTGCTGGGATTAAAGGCGCGCGTCACCACCGCCCAGCGACCGCTTGTTTTCTTAACATACACTTTTAGCTTTTTTTTTTACATACTTACTTTAGATGCTGTCTAGCTTCCATCTGTCAGTTCTTAAAGAAGCCATTCACTTTTTCTCGAGAGAAACTCTCCCCATCCTATTTATCATGCATTCTATATTTACCTCTCTATAAACCACATTAAAGAAAAACGCCGGTTTGACATTCTGTGTTTTCTCCTCTTACAAATCTCTCCTCCTGAGGAGTGTGGGGTGCCCCTTGGCCTTACGTTTGCTGTGTCTGTCCCTGTAGAGTATGGAGGGCCTCCTGAGGGCCAAAGGCCTGGAACTGGAGCAGTTAACTGCCACCTGTCAAAACCTCCAGTGGCTGAAAGCAGAATTGGAAACCAAATCTGACCACTGGCGGAAGGAACAGGAGAGCGTCCTTCAGCAGCTGCAGACATCTCTGCACAGCAAGGACAAAGAGGTGGAGGTAAGACCTCAGTAACTCCAGAGCGTGGGCTCGGGGATGCTGGACACAGCCCCAGGCCGCACCCCCCAACCCCCCAGGCCGCAGGAGCCAGCGACCCAAGGCTTCAACTATATCCTGTGCCTGGGCGAGTAGCTACCTTTCCCTGGGAATCCTCTTTACAACTGTAAACATCACATGTCATTTATCGTTCTCAGAGAAGCTGTCTGAGAATTAATTAGATCTAAAAATACATCTGCTTCATAACTAACCTGTATTATAATAGTTACGATGTACTTGCTGGGCCAGGCATCATTTTAAGAGCTTAAGGGAAATGAACTTCGTGAATCTTCCCAAGTTCATGAGGACATACTCTGCTTTCAAAGCAAAGACCTAGACGTTTGAGGTTAAGTAACTTGTCAGAGCAGCGTAGCAGAGGCGCAGGGTTGCCTCTGTCCAGGCAGCAGGGCTCCACGGTTTTAAGCACCAGGCTGTACTTCTGCGTAGACCAGGAGCTGTAGTGGCATTACTCTCCTTACGGGTACAGTTCCCTTGGTCCTCTTTTTTTTTTTTTTTTTTTTTTTTTTCCAGACAGGGTCTTGCTTGTATCCAGGCTGGCTTCAAGCTTGCCTCCTCCTCCTACTTGAGGCTTGGGCCTGCAGGGGGCATGTGCCCCCTTACCCTCACTCCATTCCCTTAGCCCATGGCTCTGTCCTCCCCCTCCAAGGTTACATACACTGCAGAGGAAGTGAAGGAGCTCAGTGTTCCTTTGCTCCACCCGCCATTAACTGTCACGTGCCCAAGCATAAGGAAAACTTTCAGAAATCGTGAAAGCTGCCATTCTAGGCGTTTTTCTATATTGTTTGTATTCGTTCACCGAGTATATATATCTAGCCTTCCAAGTCGTGGGCCTGTGTTAGGTGTGGGGAAACAAATGATAAGGCATTATAATGTTCCCAAGAATCTTATCGTTACGATGGGTTCCTTCAATCCTTTCAATATGTGGTAGAGAAAATTCTGTCCTCCAGAAATTTGTACCTTCCCTTTCCCATTAGGATCTCAGGGCAACATTACTCTGCAAACTCGGACCTGGCCAGAGTGAGATAGCTGAGGAGCTGTGCCAGCGCCTGCAGCAGAAAGAAAAGATGCTGCAGGACCTTCTGAGTGATCAGAATAAACAAGCTGTGGAGCATGAACTGGAGATCCAGGGGCTGCTTCAGTCGATGAATACCCGGGAGCAGGCGAGCCAAGTAAGCGCTGCTGTGAAACCAGACAAGGGTCCTGTGATACTCATGTCAGCAGATAGGAAGTGTGGGGCTGGCGACCCGGGCTCACTCTCTACAGTCAGCTTGGCTTCTTTCCTTCAGTGTATGAACTACAGCTGTTCATCAGCCAGAATGAAAGGGTTAGAACATTGCATCTGGAAGGTGGCCTACACAATGCATGTATCCATTATTTTCACTTTCTTAATCTTCTGATTGCTTTGGAGAAAGGAGAATGGAATTCTGAAGTATTATCTAAGTTATCAAGACTTGAGTGATCGTCCCTATCTCAAAAGAGTCCAAATTTTACAAACTGAAAATGCAAGTTTTTTTTTTTTTTTTAATTTTCATTTAGAAATTGTGATGGGAGCTCAGCTCTTCATCTAAACAATTGGTTTCATCCCACAGAAAGTTGGTGCTATCATCCAGCTAACAGGGTTCCAATTCATTATCTCAGCGCCCCTGAAAGTTTACAGTTACTATTTATTGTGTGTGTGCCTGGGTACACATCATGTATGAGTAGGCACGTGTGCCGTGGTGCATTGGTGGGGATCAGAGAGCAGCTTCGTGGAGCTGGCTCTCTCTTGCCACCTTTACACGGGCTCCAGGGATCAAAGTCAGGCCCCCGGCCTTGTATGGGAAGCGCCTTCACCTGCTGAGCCATCCTGCCAGCCCTGAGTTCGTGTCTGTACATTAATGGTCACAGATAAGTTCTAGGTCTTCCCCTTGTATTGTCGTCTTCTTAGAAAACTGGCAGAAAGAAGCTAGTTTGAATATTTAAATTTTTCTATTGGTTGATAGTTTCATACATTTACATAATGTATTTTAGTCATTTTCTCCCCCATTCTTTTTTCCTCCATCCCCATTCCCACTGAGACCCTTTCCCCGCCTCCTGCTTTCAAGTCGTTTGTGTGTATGAACAATGAGTCTAATTGGGGTTTCTTGCCTAACCATGAGTGGGAGGTTAATTACTGAAGCAAAGGCTATTTACCAATGCTACACCACCAAAGAAATGGTACCTCACCCTCCAGTAACTATTGGCTGTCAGCAGGTCTCGGGGAGGCTCTGAGGCCCCTCCCCCATCTGTGATAGAGTGTTGACAGGCCCATCCTTTTTTATTTTTTCCTTTTGCTTACTCTCTTGGGGTAATTTTTTTCTTCTACTCTTTTCCTAAACTATTAAAATATAACCTTTTTATGAGAATGTGATACATGCATGCCATCTCTTTTTATCACATTCGCCCTTCACTCTTCTGAGAACCTGCGGGTGATTGACAACCACCCGTAACTCCAGTCCCAGAGGACCTCCTCCTGCCCTCTGCAGGCACTGCACACACGTGGGACACATGCAGGCAAAACACTCATGCACATAAACTAAAAAGAAATCTTCAGAGAAATTTGGAAATCAGTTTTATTTACGGCTATGACGTCTTTCTAATAATGTTCTCTGTGATTCCTTGTTACCAGGCTGCTGCAGAAAAAATGGCTCAAGCCTTCCTGGAGAGAAACTCAGAGTTACACGCCCTGCGCCAGTACCTGGGGAGAGACCTCATTCCCTTCCGGGCACTACTCTTAGACCAGCAAGTTGAAGTGACATCCATCAGCCCCGACCTTGGAGAGCAGGCTGATCAAGTAAGAGTAGACTCACATGGGTATCCACGGCGACTGCATTGCCTGTTTACTTTTGAGGCGGCAATTGCAAACTGAGACTGTTCCAAGTCTGTCCTTGTGATCATGGTCCCCGTGTCTTTCTAAACCCCACAACCGTTCCACTTTTCAGAGCTCTATGCAGATGCCCTCCAGAGATGAAAGCGCTTCACTGACTGCTAAAGAAGATGCCAGCGTGCCCAGGCCCACGTTAGGTGAGGGCCGGTTCTGTGTTGTGAAGACTCCCTCTGCTGTTCCTGCTCCATTGCTGTGTAGTAGATTTGGCCAGGACACATCATGATAGTTCCAAAAACCAGTTTGGATTCCCCTGAAATCCAGAGACACATCACTTCCAAGAAAAACTGCCCAAACTTTACATGGAACCTTTTTAGTTCTTTTCTTTAACTCATTGTCAAACCAACTTACATATTAAAAACTCAGTGTTAACTTCAGAAATTAAATATATAAAAAGGTGGACTCAGAAGGCCCATCCAGATCCCTGTTTCTCTCTCATTTCTGCTCACTCACTAAGGGTAATACGTTTCATTTCTGGGTTGTCCTCCTTCCTGTGTATGTTTTTAAACAATAAGCAGACAGTTTACATGTGCATATGGATGGGTGTATCATTTCCTTCTTCCCCTGGTAAATGTTCTTTTACATCTATATTTAGTATCCTTGAAATCCAAATAAGCTCACTCACTTCATTCTCAATCTTTCTCAGCTGTGTAGTGTAGTCTGCTGGCTGAACGTGTGGTAGTCTATTCCATTCCTTCTCTTTAGCATGTGGGTTGATGGTAGGGTTTCCATTACAGACAGTGCTACAGACTAAAGCAGGTGCATGTATGTATTTTTCAAGTGCTGGGGTGTGTTCTTAGCGTAAACCTCTCAGAAACAGGGCAGCACGGGTCACAGCATGTTTCCGTGACTAAAAGTAGTGTTGTGTGTTCATCTCAGGAGACTCGGACACAGTTGCAGGGCTGGAGAAAGAACTGAGTAATGCCAAGGAGGAGCTCGAGCTCATGGCTAAAAAAGAAAGAGAAAGCCAGGTAAGTTTGCCAGTCAAGACCAGTCCACGAATTTCTATTGTTTCTTTCAAACTGGTTTATGTTTTAAACGTTCCAACTCTCCATGTATAATATCTGGCTCCAAATGCAAGATAGGCCTTCCTTCTTTTTGGAGAGGAACACAAATTGTTGCATATCTTCGTCACCTCGACAAGATGCTCTCACTGCCGTGGAAGCATCAAATCTCTTTGCTTGTTCCTCCTACTGGTAAGTAAAATAAAATAATTGTGAAGCACTTGTGCAAAACAGAAGTGTTGTGTAATTCCTGCCTAAAATGATGACATCAGACGCATGAAGTTTGCAAACAGTAAACAAGAGGCGGGTGAGCGTGAGCAATACTGTGTATTGAGCATTCTTCACATGCACTGTGCTAGTCAAGTGACCACACTCACAGCTCCACGTGAAGTAGGTGGTGTCATCACAAATAGGAAATAGCAGTTTTTTAACACCGATGTGGGGGCTCATCATGCCAGATTGAGGTTTAAAGTGCTCTTCACACCCCAAGTGCTTCCTAAGAAGTCTTTTCCTAGAGCAGGTATCTTCCCCACCTTCTGTGTTGGACTCTCCCTGCCAATGGAATTTTAATCCACTTTTTTAGAAGATGTTTCAGCCTTCCCATTGCAACCAGCTGCATGTCCAGCTAGGATGCAGAATAGAAGACAGCGTAGGGCTGAGCCCAGAGGGACAGACTGAACTGAAGACGTACGTGTAGCTGCCACATCCGGTCAGCTCAGTGAGTGTCCTGGACTCCTAGGGTAACGTTAGGAAGCATCATGACTTGATGTCTAATGTAACGCAGATGTCCGGATCATACCTCTTGATTTTGTTACCGTAGTTCTTTTCTTACGGACTTGTATTATATAACTCGGTTTTGAAAACACAAGTTATGCAGTATTTGAGAACTTTCAATTTCAGAATGGCCCAGTCGCCCTCCCTGCTCTGGTTCCTCTGTAGCTGTTACATGATTATTCACGTCAGGTATTAGGGTTCCCACATGCTTTCCACTTTACTCATGCATTTCCAATCTAGAACAGTGTTCCTTTTTGCTTCTGTCCTGTTTTGAGGGTCATAAATCGCAGGGGCCGTGACTATGTGTTTTGAATAAATGATACTTTCCATTGCTCAGCTTTATGTATCCCTAATCAACTGCTTACTTCTCAGCTCAATACTGTTACATATTCCCTCTAATACTGGGTACTTACTAACAGCCACTGGTTTCACTGGTTTTCTGCCACATGCCAAGCATTTTGAAGATGTTTTCTGTAGTTCTTGGTGGCCCTGGAAATACATATTCTCTTTTACCGATGCAGAAACTAAACCTCAGTGTAAAAACTTGGTCAGCAGCTGGTGCTAGGATTGAAAACCTGTGTCAGTCTGTCTTCAGACCTCAATCATGCTGCAAGAATATTTTCTTAAGTTTACCATTTTTTTAAAATTATGTGTATAGGTATTTTTTTCTACCTGTATGTCTATGCACCATGTGTGTGCCGAGAGCCTGCAGAGGCCACAAGAGGGCATCAGTTCCCCTGGGACTGGGGGTACAGATGATTGTGAGCTGCCACGAGAGTGCTGGGAATCAAACCTGGGGCATCTAGAAGAACAGCCAGTGCTCCTAACTACTGAGCCGTCTCTCTAGCCCTATTGTTTTCTTTAATACTGCAAATCCTGAGATATGTAATTATAGTAATCTCCGAGGGGGGCCCAATAGTTGTCCATAGCTCTGAACAACCTGAAAAATAAAATCAGCAGCAGACACTATCAACTTTATTATTGGTAAAGTCTCAGGTATAGAACTTGCTGCTAGCACCAACTAGGCCCTGAGTTATTAGGATCGACTGGTCCAGTCAGAGGCATCTTGGCCTGAGGGAAGCAGGGGTAAAAGCAAGCCTTCCACAGGCAGCTAGCTGTCTGTGTAGAGGACTGGCAGGGGAAAGCCAAGCTGCCTGGTTTATTCTGCCACCACATACTGTCTTAAAATAGGCTTTTCAAAAGTTTACTTAAAATAACTGGCCATTGCCATAAAGACTATATGGATGTACAATACCCATCAAAAAGACATTAAGCCTGACAGCCTGATTTGTCTTCCCTGACTTCCGCACTACGCATGAACTACTTACTAACTCTGTGATTTTAAGTTAGTTCCTTAATTTCCCCTGGCCCAGCTGTCTTGTTTATACACTGAAGGGTAGAAATCATCTTAACTATAATTGAAAAGAGGTTACATCCTCCGATCTGGGGGAGGATTTTTGTGCCAGTTCCTTCATGAGACACATTCTCTAAGCCAGAGCTAGAACTAGGGGAACTAGGCATGAGATGGGTGCAGAATCAACAGGGTCCTTCCCTGGATCTGTGTCATTAATTCCTACTAGGGCGATAGCAGACATTACACAAATGAATAACTTAAATGTTGTACTTATAGATGATAAGATAGCATGCTGTAGAAAGTGTCAGGGAACAGTAACACCAATGGGGATCACCTTAGATGAGTGAAAGGCTTTCTTGAGCAGGCTGGTGGTACCTGAGAGAAGACAGCGGCCCTGGGAAAGATACTGCAGGCTGACGGACGGCCCCTAGTCAGCACAAAGCCCGGTGCGCTGCAGTCAAGTGGCGGGTGTTGAACTAGAGGGGCCAGATCGGCAGGTGTGTTGAGACAACTAAATACAAGCAGTGTATTGTGTGCCTGGGACGTAGCAGGCACACCGTGAATGTTAGCAGGGGTAGTTGTTACCGTGGAGTTTCTGGGCTTGGTTATCATCCAGTTTCTCGTCTGGGGGAAAGAAGACGTAACACTGAAAGCTTGGTGCCCACAGTGCTAACTGGTGGAGAGGCTCCTCTGTGGTGGCAGCATGCTCTTCACCAGGAGGCATGTCGTTTGGTGACCCCTGGTGGTGTCAGCCGCTGGATGTGCTCAGTACCTTAGTAATTCGTTAAGGGGTATAAAATGTAGGCATCCCAAACCTGCCATATTTTCATGTATTAGCTGAAGTATTTACATAAACTAAACACCATTTCTTCTTGCTTCTGCGAGCTGTAACCAACTTTTAAATATCCCGGTGACCCCATTAGTTAAATGTGTTATGTATAGTAATAGAAAACATTCTTACAGTTTGTTTTAGAGCATCCTTTGATCCCACGCTCCTGTTTTATTGACTTGACCCACGGCACTATTTTTTTCGGTTTCCTCTCGTGTTACTGGCTGTTTATGATATGACATGGAAAAGCGTTTGCCTGATGTTGGCTTTTCTTCTCTCCACAGATAGAACTGTCTGCTCTACAGTCCATGATGGCTGTGCAAGAAGATGAGCTGCAGGTGCAGGCTGCCGACTTGGAGTCGCTGACCAGGAACATACAGATAAAAGAAGACCTCATAAAGGTCTTTCACAGCTTTTTGAAAACCACTGGAATAGTCTAGACCTCAGCTATCTTAAGACATCTTCACACAAGATTCTGAATTCTTTGGCCTTGAAACAGAACAGGAACAGAACAGGTCCCTTGCTGCTCTGCGGAGTAATGTTATTGTGGTTTTAAAGTTGGCTTGTATTTTTTCCTAGGACCTGCAGATGCAGCTGGTCGACCCTGAAGACATACCAGCCATGGAACACCTGACTCAAGAGCTCTTACTTCTTCGGGAAAAGGTTGCTTCAGTAGAATCCCAGGGTCAGGAAGTTTCTGGAAACCGGAGACAACAGGTGAGTTCGTGGGACACAGGTTCTTCTGTAGCTTCTCCCCCATGTCTAACCTTCTCAGTGCCAGATTCTTCAGAAAGCCTGTCTGTCTGCCCGTCTGCCCCGCTCCCCTCACTCCAGCCTGGCACGTACTTTCAAGAGCTCTCTGCTGGTCACACGTTTGCAGCTTGTCTTCAGCGTAGCTTGTGGCTCATGTTGTCTCTGGGTGGTCCATGGCTTTCCTGAGCTTTTCCCTAGAACTAGAACAGTGCGTGTGATGGTGTGGAGATGCTCAGTAAGTACTGAGTGAAGGGACTTTTTCTAGAAAGAGTACTAAGTTGTTACTGCGTCCCTCTTTCTCATCCCTGCCTCCCTTCATCCTTCCATCTTAGACCCTTTCCTGTATTCCTGGACTCTCTCTCTCCCTCAATTCTCACTCCCATGTTTGAATTTGACTAATAGTTTTTAAGATGTAAAATATAACAAGTGTGATATTGATTTGAAGACTGTAACATTCTGTAGGAAGCTTGGGTAATAAACACCGTCTTGTCTCCCGGGATTCACTGTGGCTTCATGTCTCACGTTGCTGTTCCCACCTTGCTGCCTCTCTCTCCCTTCCTTAGTTGCTGCTGATGCTAGAGGGACTAGTGGATGAGCGGAGTCGTCTCAACGAGGCCCTGCAGGCAGAGAGGCAGCTGTACAGCAGCCTGGTCAAGTTCCACGCCCATCCGGAGAAGTAAGAGGGGGGCTGCCTGGCTCGCCCACCTTCAACTTTCCTTCCTTTACCTTCTCTTATTTTCTTTTACCAAGTTTATCATGACAAACAGGTGTTTACAGTGCCAAAGGGGAGAAAAAAAGGAAGCTCCTCGCCTTGTGATTTGCTGCGGGGCTTGGCCTGAGCCTCCGTGTCTAAATCTGAAATAGACTTTCCCACTGTTACCGCAAAGGTTCCGCACGAAGACCGGTCAGGGGTCTGGAACAGTGTCTTGTAGGTAGTGTGCACTCTCTGTGGGCTCCTTGCATTTCTGTTCCATGTCCTGCAAGCCTGCTCTCCTGTGGACAGTAAGGCTGTCGGGGTGCTAACCTGGGTTAAGGACAGTGAAGAGCATGTGTTTGTGACGGTGGCAGATTCCACGCAGAAGCGCAGAAAAAGCACCATGTGAATGTATTTTCTTAGAGTTCTCAGGTTTGGCTTAATGTGCTATGTCTTTATGACTCATTTCAGAGTGCCTTCCTTTTTTTTCTTGCCTTCCTCCTGGCCTCTTTTCTTTCTATGTTTTTTTTTTTTTTTTTTATTATTATTATTATTATTATTATTATTATTATTATTATTATTATTCAGTTTCCCCTAATTTCTCACTTGGCTTTAGAAATGGTTCATTTCCACCTCAGGACAGTACAAGGATGAGAAGGTGTGGTAGGACCACTTACTCGAGTTGTTGCCTTTGGAAAGAACTGAAATGCCCCTCCTTTGAGCTGCTTTCACTCAGAGCACCCTCAGTTCGGTGCAGATGAGAGAACAGCTCTCCCCAGCCCTCAGCTCAGTCTCGATTCGGTTTACCTAACAGAATTTCTCTTCTGCTGCTGTAGGAATGCGCTATATTTTTGTGTGGAATGGCCCAGAATGTAGCTAAAGGGACAGACTTTACAGAAAGGTGCGGGCCTTGCTCTGTCCCCGCAGTGAGCACAGGGGCCACCCAGAGACTGCGCCCACTCCCTTAACCCTTGCCTCGGGGAGCAGTTACCTTAGGAGGCGATGGCATAGGTGGCACAGAGGGCTCTTTGGAAGGATGTGGACTCGTCATAGTTGATGGCTGACCCCTTTCCTTCCATGTGACATGTTTAACCAGCTCTGAGAGAGACCGGACCCTGCAGGTGGAACTGGAAGGGGCCCAGGCCTTGCGCAGCCGACTAGAAGAAGTTCTTGGAAGAAGCCTGGAGCGCTTGAGCAGGCTGGAGACACTGGCCGCCACTGGAGGTGGGGAACTGGAAAGTGTGCACGCTCCTCACCAGCATGCCCTCTGAGCACTGGCGGGTCACCCCGCAGCCCAGGACGGAAACCCTGTTTGCACTAACCAGAGAGAGTCGGGTCGGACTTGACAGAATGAGTGCCGACTTGCTAGTGACAGGACAGGTGCCGTCACCAGTGGCAGAGGCACCTGCCAAGGGCAGTCACTGTAGTCGACCTGAGCTTCATCGCACACACCCGTCTCCCTTAAACAGGGAGGCCGTGAAGTATGCCCGCACACCTTAGAACATTCCATTTTAATTTTCCGTACCCACTCGCTCGTCTCCCTAGCCTCCCCTCATTCCTTCACCCCTCCCATAGGCCAATAAAGTTTATTCCCCCCATCTCACCCCCATTTCACATGTTCCATATCATGTCATAAAATGCATGTGTGTGTATTGTTTTTGCCATCCAGTCAAACCCTGCTCTTTGAAAGCAGATTTTAATCAAATAAAGGAATAAAGTGAGTTTCAGGTTTAGGGAGAGAAAGAGAGAGATTGAGAGCCCATAGAATGGCTTTGGGGAGTGGTTGTAGCCCGACTAAGGATAATCAAAACCAGGAGAGTGGACTTAGGCTAAGTTAAGGAGCAGAGACCATGAAAGTGTTCATGGTCAATATCGCCCTCTACGGCTGCTTCAGAGCTGACTGTTGACAGTCACAGACAAGATCAGATTAGTGGACATTAAGTTCTAGTCTATAAAAGTCTATAAAATTCTTGTTCTTCACTGGCCTAGGGTTTCTTCAAGCCACAGGCATGGCCTTTAGTCAGAACATGACTTTAAAGGAAGGATTCCCGAATCACAGTTCTCTGGATAAAAAGATAATCGTCTATGTGATGTTTCCACTCCCCCCCCCCCCATTTTTTGTTTTGTTTTGGGTTTTGGCATTTTTGTTGGTTTGTTTTTTGAGACAGGCTATGTCTGTCCTGTGGCTGGCCTGAATGTGCTGTGTAGACCAGACTGGCTTTGAACTCACAGAGCTGCACCTGTTTCTGCCTTCTGGGTGCTGCGACTGAGGCGTGGCTGCCACTCCTACCTGCCCGTATCCCCTTTGAAAGCAGTATTTTCCTGTATCCCAGAATCAGAGAAAAGTACGGTTTCTAGATCCTCATTTGGAGGTGGCACGGTGGCATCCTTCATTTACTTCTGCTCTGGCGTATATATCTCTTCATATTAGAGGAAGAAGTCGGTGTGGGCTGCCAATAGGCTCAGGTCACTCAGAAGGAAGTGTCAGAGGTCTGTGCATCTCTACTTTCTTGGGACAACATGACAGGTAGAGAAAGGGAACCGAAGATTTCATTTCTAGCATCTTAAATGTCAAGAATATGAGAAGTAACAGGTTACTGCAGGGGCTGTGGATTCTGCCCCATACAGTTTCCTACGGCTGAAGGGCTTGGATTTCCTAGAGGAGAAGCTAAGGTTTCAGCTCCCCTGAAGATGGTACTGAGGGAACATAGTTCAGGCTTTCCAGCACCCTAAGAAAAATGGAGTCCCCTCCCAAAGCTAGACTGAGCACATGATTTTCCCTTTCCCTTCCTTTTTGACATGGCATTTTACATCCATGTGTTGACATGGTGTGTGTTACATTCCAAATTCTGTCCAAGATCCTGTAACCTCAGCTGTGTCTATAACAGATGAGCATCAGTCAACCTGAAGTGGACAGGAAGAAAATATTCCACCAGAGAAGCACCCCGGAATCTTCTGATGAAGTAGTTCACAAAGATTGATGGCATGGCCTTCCTTATAATGGATGTGCTATTTCAGTTTTAACAGCTTTTTGGGGAAAAGGAACCATTTAATAGGAAAGATGGCAGAACCACCCAGTTTTCTTAGTTCCCCCATTTTAAGAGACTTTAAGCCCTGCCTAAGTAAAACATTATGTAACTAGCAAGTAGGGGAGAAGATAATAGAGTTGAGCTATAGACAGGTCAAATCAGTTAAAGACTGGTCTGTCAGGTCATTACAAGGCAATTAGGAAATGTGTTTACTTTACTATTGGACCAACAAAGTTTTGCAAAGCTGCTATGAAGCTTCAGCTGTAGGTGACTCTTAGGTCCTAAGAGTTTGCAGTGATTATAGTAATGTCTGTTAATAATTAGTCCATCTGCCAATGTCTAACAAGAGTAGGTTGATAGACAGGTAAATTAAGTGTTTGTTATTGATTCCGTAAATGTGACTAAAATCTGGTACTTCCTTTCTGGCGTTGATGCTAGAATGAGGCTGGGGACTGTGCTGCCTGGAGATAATGTGCTAGGTAGGCCTACACACTTGTGCAATAATTTGGCATCTGGTTACAGAACGCAATTCTGATGAATTGTAGTGTGTAAGCCCCAGGTGGATGGTACTGTGATTCTGTATGTCATTCATAGATTTGGATTTAGCATGCTATAATCTTCATTCCTCTGTAGACACACAGAATGTTAGCTGGACTTGTCTGCCTTTGTGGGGGGGTTTAAAAATATTTCAATAAACTCAGATTTAAAGGATCATGTACTCACAGAAGCTTGTGCTTCAATAAAAACTTTCTTGAAAGAACAATAATGCAGCAGATTTTCCCTTGGGCTTTGTTTAATTAGAAGCATTGAACTTTAACTTAGAAAAATCCATTATTGATAGATTTCATTTGTCTCACGTTTCGTTGTAAATAGTGGGAAATATCTGCAGAGTAATGGTTGCAAGAGGCCAAGGAGGGCAGTCTAGCTTTTGGAACTGTTGAGTTGGAAAAGGCTTCTAAGAAGGCTCAGTTAAGGAATAAAACGAAAGGCCTTCTGACATGCTTTCTCCAAACTCTCTCCTAATCTAGAATTTTTGTGTTCCTTTATATTTGATCTTGGGTGCTCGAACCCAGAACTCTGTGCATGCTAGGCAAGCGCTGTACCACTGAGCTTAAACCCTCTACCACAGGTTTAAGTGACGTTGTTGGGATCCGACTGTTGGTGGGCTCCTATTGTTCAACATCTTTCTGATGTTCTGTTTCTAGCAATTCAGCCACGTTGTAATTTCTGCAAAGGAATGGCTGGGCTATTTCAATACGCCATCCTTCTACTTTGCCACGACGCATACTTACTTTCCATTTCTGCCACTTCCGCCTCATCTGCCTCCATACCCACGTCTCTTCATTCAGGGACAGACAGCAGCAATGTTTTTAGTGCTGCTGATTGTAGGGAAAGCACATTGTCCTTGTTTACATTTTAAAATACTTTCAGCTATATTCCATATAGAAAGAGACCTATTAAGGATCAAAGAAAACCAGAACCTGTGGAGGATTTCCACCGGCACAGAGTCCCTGTAGAAGGGTTTTGGTGGACGGGACTTACACCGTTTCCATGGAAGTGACTTCCACGGAAGAGGTGCGTAAAGTCCTACCACACGTGGGCTTGTTTGAGCTCCTAGTCACTATCTATTGTAAGAGCTGTGCTCACAGCTCCACAATAGTTCAGGAAAGTTGATTCATCTCTCTGACCTCATACTGGAATATGGTGACCACGGAGAGAAGCCGCGGGTCACACCACACTGCCCCGCCCCTTTCTCAGAAGTAAAATGTAATTGACTACCTGAGGCTCCTGACTGCTAAGCCCAGCCGAATACACTTTCTCCATAGTTCGGTTTTCCTTGAGCTGTCCTGGCAGAGCTGTGAGCCCATTGTTTAGACATCCCTCCAAATGCTGCAGTTCTAAAAACTAGGCTTACTACTCAGAAAACTCCTGCGAGAATTTTCTCCTTTCATGATCTTTTTATAGGAGAGAGTCATAAAATCGTCACATTGGGAACTCCTAAACCCCTCAGCTGTCTCCTCAACAAGGGTCTTAGTTGTAGTTGTCAGGGTTGTCACCAGCAGTGGCCTGCAGGAGAAGGGGACAGAGCTCCTATGACGTCAAGAAAGCCATGTTATAACTCATGTGCTTAAAGACTGCCTAGCAGAACAAACTGAGTTAGTTTTAGGTTGAACATGGCAAAGGCTTCTCTATGTCGAGTTTCAAATCTCACTGCATTCTGGATTATGATTTGAAGTTGCTCCCATGCCATTGGTAACAATGACTTTATTAAAGCATTTTATTAAAATTAGAAAATAAATATATTACCTTTATGTACTCTTGAGTACTGACAGAAGGTAAGTCCTCATTTTTTTCTATATAATCGCACAAGCCAGGACGAGTTTTCCAAATAAAAATTGGCATTAGAATTTATTACCAACAGAGAATGAGAAATGGAAAGAAATCGAAAACTGTATAGCCAACAAGTTTTACCAGATGTCAGGTAAGAATAATTCAGCTTACAAAGTGATACACTCATTTTATGTTATTTTTCCTTTCATTGTTTAAAACCAAATTCCGGAAAGTAGTCTTTATTATCCTGCCCTCCCTCATGCTAAAGCAGGAAAGATAAAATAGAGTGTTCCAGAGTATTCTGAAATGTTTGGTCCAAAGTAATCTGAGGAGCAGGACTGTTAGACACGTGAGCTTTGTTCTCTGGACTGGAGCAGAGGTGGGTAGATGTGCTGTGAGTGGCCCAGAAGAGGGCACAGACCGGCTTTGTGCCGCTGTTCATCATTGCTAGAGATTGACTGCTAAACCTAAACACTTGAGAAGCTTGTACATAGACAAGTGTGTTCTGTAGACCATACACTTCTGTGTGCAAGGTGTTTGTTATCTAATAATGGAAGCAATGGTGCTTTTATCACGTGAAATGTTGTGGGGTATTGAGGAAAGGTGGTTCACAACAACTTCAGATGAAGAAGTGACACATTAGATGATCAGAAACTTGGCACTCAGTTACTTCAGGACTTTCCTCACCACCTTAAGCTGCTCATTTTCTCCAAGTTCATTCTTCCTGGAACTGTGTTGTTAACCTGTAAATATCTGTGCTGTGGAGCCTGTGCTTTTTATATGTGTGTCAGCATATCAGCTAATTCAGTTGAGACACACCAACACTTGTTACTGATCCAATAAAAGTATCAAAGGCCAACAGAAGCTACTCAGTTTCATTCTTAAAGATTTATGAGAGAAGAGAGAGAAAGCTCATGTCCTTTTTTCTGTTCCTTTATAGGAGTCAGCCTATTGATCATTGTACTAAAATTCCAAGTCAAAGTCAGACCCCATGCATGCGTGTTTGTTTAACTAAAGAAGAGGAAAACCATTTTTTTTTCCTCCTCTCAAGGAAGCCAGACCAAAGAAACAGCATTGCACTTCCCCATAGCAGTGAACTGGGCGTGTTAAGCCTTAAAAATCCATTCTTGCTCTCCTCGCTGAAGAGAAGTGGTAAATGCAGCCCGATTTGAGGGTCAACTGCTGTGGTGGGTGGTGCCATCGTTTAATGTCCCTATAAGAGCATGCTTTTGTTCCTTGAAGAGATGCCGCAAACGGAGAATTCCTTGACATGATAGTCACTTTATAGGACAGACAGACTGTGGGGCTATCTCCTGATCTGTCCAGAATGGCCCTAATTTATACATTAGGGCAGTTTAAGATAGGTGAAACATGGACTAAGCAGCCTTTTGGGGGAGTAGACACTAAAGTCCCGTTGAGATTGTGTACCCTGGAAAGTCATTGGGAGTCGAATTTGCTTTAGTCACTTAACGCAGCTTCTTTCTTAGTAATATTCCCATGGACAGCCCTCTTAGGAAACATTGCATCTGAAACACAGAAGTCCACCATAAAGAGGCTTGGCTGCCGGTTAACAGAGCCGCACTACTTACTTTCCAAGATGAACATCTGTCTAAAACAATCTCAGCAGAAGCTAAGGAGTACTGGAACAAATCTTGACATTAATTCAGTCCTGAAGGGAATGGATATAGGGCAAACTGAAGCTTTATAGAGAACTTTTGTCTTTGATTCTCACATAGCATCCTAATACTGAGCCAGAAAGACTTGGTGCATAACGTGAAGATTGAGTGTTCCAATGATAATGAGCACATGGCAGAGTGCCTGGGAATGAAAGTAAGATGGGCCGGAGAAGGCCGGCACAAGATCCTCAGGGAAAGAGCAGTTGGTCTGCAAACTTACCAGACTGTGAGCTTCGACCCTTCAAATCCATTTTCAAAATAAGTTACATGTGACCCCTGCCATGTTTGAAGTTACTGTGGGGAGGCACTGCTCCTTGCCATTCCCATATAAATAACTCAAGGGACAGAACGGCCCTAGAGTGGAAGTTGCGGAGAATGCCTTGACCCTACCCAGTTTTCACATGAATTAAGAATTAAAAGGAAAGTGCATAAAGTCTCCTTTAAAGCTATTCGTGCGTAGTGGCGTGTCAGGGCAGTTCTGATCTGATGGTGGCCGTGGCGGCTTTCCAAAAGGGCTCACCCTGTGTCCCTGACAGCCTGGGCCTTCCCTCAGGTCCTATGAAGCAGTAATCGAGAAGGAAAGACCTTCAGGTAAAATCAGCATCATCAGGATTGACACTTCGCTCTGCTGCCTATATTCGGTTAGGTTCTGTGGCCTTCAGTCTTGCCGGCCCCCAGCCTCCCAGCCCAAGGACCACTTCAGTTCTCCAGCAGTAGCCAAACGATACTGCTAAGGGTCAGACCCGCTGATCACACACCGCCGTGCCAAGCACTGTTCCAAGCACGCAGAGTCGGCAAACCCTTTGAAGTCTGAAGCTGTTGGAAGCTCCCAACAGCTGCCTGGAACAGATAGTGTTACCAACCCTAATTAAAGTCATATAACTAGTGGCAAAAGCAGGTTCAAACAGGTGATCTGGCACCAGAGTCCACATTCTTTATCACCATGCCATCTTCAATTTAAAAATACCTACAAAAGTGTGAGTGCCTGCCTCACTAGTAAGAATATCTTGTGTTTACACAGTGTTTAAACTGTCAACTCAAGGATTTTGTTACCTTGTATAAACTTCATTTCTGTGTACTTTGTAAAGTCATATAGCTGGTAGAAAACTAAGTACAGATGGACACATGGTATCACCTCTATTTTGTGGACTTCAGAGCCCAGGAACTTCCCAGAACCACATTGAGAAGATCCTTTGAGGACTCAGAGTGTCTGATAATATTTCAGCCACATCTCTGTACTGACATGTAAACTCCATCTCAGAGAAGCAAGGTTACTGGAAAGGGGTAGATCATTAGCTCACAGAGAATCTCATATGTTATCAAAAGTGAGCAGGCGATCAATTTTAGAAGTGTTGGGTCTCTTCCACTTAAAAGATTAAACTATCCCAAGATAGTTAAGAAAGTAGTCTTTGGTTGCTTTGTAAAAGGCTTAGAAAATTCTTTTGTTTTTCTCGGTAGAGGGACAGGGTCTCACTGGCCTCAAAACTCACTGTGTATCTGAGGAAGACCTTCACCCCCTGATGTTCCTGCCTCCACCTTCCAAGTATGGGGTTGCAGATCTGAGACCATGCTAAGGATCAAACCCAGGGCTTTGCTAGGCATGCACTCTTAATGCTGAGCCACATGGCAGCCCTAAAAAAATTCCTTTCATTCAATCAGAAATTGAAATCGTAACAGAAAGAGGGATGTCTGATAGTTGCCTCCAAACAGGACCTTGTGTGAGTGTGAGACAACATACTCATTCTCATATTTCCTTTTTGTTTTTGGCTTTATTCTCAAACACACATTTTCAGCCTTTTTAGTTTCAGCAAAAGGCAGAGTAGCCATCAAGCTCCATTAAGGAAGACGGAAACAAAACCTCCATGTAATAGAGGGTTGGGGAAAGTGGGCATATTCGTTTGTCTGTAATTTCTGATGAAACTAGAAACAAGGCATCCTGTCCCCTCCCAGTGGTTTAAAGAAGCAATAATAGAAACGTGGTTCTAGCAGCAGAAAAGCTCCAACTTAACTCCTGGAACCCAGTACAGGGATGACTTAGGGATATGGACTCAATATGGAGCGGACTCTACAGTCCAGTGTGAATGATATGGGAATGCTGACCTCATAGAGCTTCATTGACCCTCAGTCATTTTCTAGCTCCAAAGGGAAACAGTGAGAAAAGCTTTTTAGTGAGAAAACTCATTTTCTTTGTAAGGGAAGAAATGCCATCTCTACTGTTGGACGGGGCAGATTTCATACAGATGCCATCAGTGACTTGGCATCCTGGTTCTAGTAGGCTTCCAAAGCAGCTCGGGCTTAGGGATGATGTTCACTCATCTCTACTTACCAGGACCTTGAGGGAGATGGTTCTGCCTTTCAAGGGAGTAGTTGTAAAGTCTTGCTATATGCTGGCTGCAGGAGGTATCTAAAGATACTGAGTGGTACAGTTGCCTGCTGGTAGATGGTTTTACTAGATAGAATCCTGCTCTCCCCTGAAGGTAGAGCAGCATTCACAGTGAAGACTGGGGGTCCTGAGCTGTTAAGACAACACACTTATCACCTACCTCTTAGTTCTTTGATGAGATGAGCAGGCCATTGCAAATGTCCTGGCGTGGACTTGCAGGTACTAAGAATTGGAAGGTAGATGTGAGCTGCGCTCTTTCTGCTTGGTGTACAGAGTAGAAGTAAGTTATGCTTACTTGAGGTAGGTAAGAAGTATCGTCACTCTAGCTGTGAATGTTCATTCTTCGTGCTGAGATTTCATTTATGAGTGTCTGAGCTCAGGGGGGATCCTTTGGTCTTGGAAGAAGTAATCAGGTTTTTCATCGTGAGAAACAACAGTTCCGGAGTCCAGACACTTGATTTACGGGCCCAAATCTTGTCAGAACTAGCTATATAACCTTAGACAAACTACAGAATTCTTTCAGCCCCAGGTTACTCAGTAGATAAAAGGCAGGATCAGAACTAGATGTTAATGTTCCCTAACTTGGCAAATTCCATGAGATACAAAAGTGTCACAATAGGTATTCTTTGATGTTCTGGGGGCAGGGGGCGGGAATCAGTAATGTGAGTCACAGTTCTTAGTGTAGAATTGCATGAACAATCTTTTATTGTAATCAATTTTAAAAGGAATAAATGCTACATGTTTGTGCCATCCTGTACAGTAGCCACTAGCCACAGATGGCCATTTAAGTATAAACTGCTGATCAAAGTCTTCTCTCTTGAGCAGTGCAGGCACAGGACAAGGCCATCCTCAATGAAGTTTCTCTTGCCCAGCGCCACCCTGGACCTTTGCCCAGACCGCTAACTGCAGCTACTTGTCTCTTAGAGCAGGATATAGATGCTTATGCTCGAGGGTGACAGGTACATCTTTGGAAGATGAAAGGATGAGACTACACACGGTTTGAGCAGAGTAGTACAGAGAATCTTCCAGGCAAAGGAAGTTGGCGCTTAAAGAGATTGAGAGGGGTATGGGGGGGGTGGCTGGAGAGAGGAGTCAGAAAACTGGTTCGCCCTGTGCTTCACATCCTGACCTGTGTGAGACACAGACCCCAGAGATGAGTTCCTCAGAGATATCGTCACCCTATGGACAACCCATCCCAACCATGGAAGAGTGGGAGAGGAGCTGCCCTGGTACCAGGAGTTGAGGGGCCTGCTCAGTAGTCAGTGGTGGGAGAAAGGTTAGTAACGTCCAGCCATGTTGAGACCTTTAGGGTATGAACAGAACAGAGAAGAATCCACTGAAATGGGGGAGAGGAACAGACACTCTGAAGGCTTCTAAAGTGTAGCAGGATAGTCCAAGTGAGCTGCTTTTGAGGCTTAGGCTGAAATATTAGGAGGGAACCAACATTTGCCTAAGAGAAGGCTTGGTTCTGTTTTCCCTGTTGCTGGCCAAGAGCATGAAGAACAGAAAAAAAATCAGAGGTGGATGGCAAGCGTGTAATTGCACCCGGCATCTGGAAGCCACCTGTGAAGGAGTCACCTTTCTCTTCTGGACTCTTGCAGGTGCTGCTGCTGCTGCTGCGGGCGATGATGCCGAGGACACAAGCACAGAGTTCACAGACAGCATCGAGGAGGAGGCTGCACACAACAGCCACCAGCAAGTAAGTCAGGGTCAGGTGCGAGGAGTTCCTGGATCCCATTCTCACCTCCAGCCTTCCTGCGCTGCGAGTGAGAAGACATCTTCTGCGTAACCCGCCCCCCTGGCCTGCTCCCTGCGGCCCCTCGATCTTTTTCTGTTCAGTCCACCATTGTTTTTACTGCTTCTCATTCTTATTCCTGCCCCTGATCCCTTCCCGCCCGCCTCTGTCCCTGTTTGCTGTCTGTAGCTTTAGCTTCGGAAGAACTGTTGCTTTTAAGACTATGAATGCTTTCCCTCTTTGGCTTTTGTGACTGAAACACAAAACAGGAGACAGAGAGACATGGAAGGGCTGGTCTTGGAGGAAAGCGAGGCCCAAGGCCTGCTTGACGGGAGTACTTGTCTGAGAAACTCCCGGGGGATTGGAATGCCCCCAAAGCAGGGATCTTTCTCGGTGGAATAGAAGAGAGCTTTGCTATGTGATCTGACAGGCTACCCAATAGCCAGTCCCGCCAAGCCACAGAACTTGTCACCAGCCCACCATCAGAGAAATGTAATGTCTCCAGCCCAAGAGTGACTGTCTTGGACCTCAAAGGTTACGTCACCCTTAGTGATCTTAGCACTCATTGGAGCTGAGTGTCTCCACCTTGTCCCAAAACGTTCAAAAGTCACAGGTAAATGCCTGTGGCTCTTAAGTTGTAGAGAACTAGAAAGAAGCTGAGCTTTCTAGTGATATCTTCCTTGGGCCTACTAGAAACACCTATAGGAAAAAGGGGGCTTCCTGGGTCTGTACACTTCCTGTGTGAGAAAAAGAGGAGCCATTCATTACACTGGGAAGAAGAGGCCAAGTGAACAGACCCCAAACTGAGTAGGGTTTGGCATCATTTGGGGCTCTTGACAAGGACCTGAGTTTGTCTGGGACATCAGACATCACCATGAGTTTCTTTACTTTCTGTCACGATCTCCTTTGGTTGCTGTAGTCAGGACTACCCTTCGTTCCCCCTCGAGGGCTTTGCACTAGCCACACTTCTCTATTTGCTTCTTCTGAGTCCTGCTCACTGACTGAAGGGCTGCAGTTTTTAGTGCACAGAGGTCTCTGCCCCTCCCTCCCTGATTTCATCGAGGATCTTGGGTGAAAGAATTTGCAGGATGAACGGAAGTCTGCTCTAAACAGATTGGGATGTAGACCGGACACAATGGCTGTAACAGCTGTGGGGCAGGACTAACTTCAGATGAAATAAACGGAAGACACCAATACCATGACCATCAGGTTCTGATTACCATGCTCTAACCATCCTGCTGCTGCAAGTCTTATAGGCAAACTGGTTTGTAAAGTCATTTCTTCCCAAGCCTTCTTTTCTGTAGCCCCACACCGAGAAGATAACCAGACTCTACCATGAGAAGGTCAGTCTCACCCTGGAGTAAACGTTCACCCTGGCACATCACAGCGCTTGTCTCGGTACTTGGCATAGGAAGTACTCAGTGTAATAGTAACTTAGCACACCTTCAGATCAGGGCTTTATTCTTAAGAGACAGAAGTGTATACCTCCTGGATGAAGATGGGTAAGCACGGTTTTCTTCCTATCACCTTTTCTTGAAAGCTGATTTCCAGCTTTGAGTAGGAAGAACCTTGGTGGATGACATCACTGTACGCGAAGCCGCTGTGAGTGCACTTCATCTTTCGTGGAGTTGGAGATGTGACTCTCCTGTTACCAATGAAATAAAGCTTGCTCTGCCATAACTGCCGTGTGTCCAGCTTCTAAAGCTTTGTTTGCTTGTTCTCCTCTATTGTTAGCCTCTGAGCTCCTCCTTGTTGTGTTCTTGGGAGATAAACTTTATAGTTGGTCCCACACCCCCTCCTCCTCCTCCTGCTCCTCCTCCTCTCCCTCCCTCCTCCTCCTTTCTCCTTTTTTGTTTTTTTTTTTTTTTTTTTTTTGTTTGTTTGTTTTTGAGACAGGGTTTCTCTGTGTAGCCCTGGCTGTCCTGGAACTCATTTGTAGCCCAGGCTGGCCTCAAACACACAGAGATCTGCCTCTGCCTTCCCAGTGCTGGGATTAAAGGTGTGCACCACCTCTGTCTGTCTGTCTGTCACACTCCTTTCTGACATACCCATATACACACTTTCCCTAACAAACATATCCAGCTTTGTGTTCCTGGGCAAGCATCAAAGAAAGCAAGTTTGTTTCCTCATTCTAAGAAGTCACTTGCCTTAGAGAGCTTCAGGTCTGACCATGATAGTAATCTTCCCTAGATATTGCCCAACCAAATTCTGATTTCAAAAAGTTGTAAGGTCTGTAATAAATGCCTAGGAGATGCCCACCAAGGACACTGGAGAGCAGTCAGCCACTCCTGTTCATTTGAACACTTTCAATGCAGAAAAGTTCATCAATAATCGAGTTTCAAATGCAAAAGATCAGTACACTAAATCTGACAGAAAAAGAGAAAAAAATATTTTAAAATAGTAATATTTTATTATCAAATCATAACTAAACGTATGAAGCACATGTGATTATTTGATGTACACATATATAATGAAATGACTAATACATCTGTACCTTACCTACTTTTATTTTTTTATGGTGAGATCTTTGAAATTTACTTAGTTATTTTAAAATATACTTAATGCTAACTACAGTTACCATGTGAACAACTGACCTCAAAGCCTATTTCTTCTGTCTGCGTGAAGCTTTGTGACTTCTCAAGTTCCTATTGTCTCTTCCTCCCTACACCAGACTTTCTTCCTTCTACTTCAGTTGGCTCAACTTTGTTAGAGTCCGCATGGGAGTCACATAAGGAAGATGGCGTGGTGTTTGCTTTTCTGTGAGTGGCTTTATTTCAGATAGCCTAATCTTCTCCAGATTTAAATAGATAGCAGGATAGCCCCTCTTTTTAAGACTCAGTAGATTTTAGCTGGGCGGTGGTGGCGCATGCCTTTAATCCCAGCACTTGGGAGGCAGAGGCAGGCAGATCTCTGTGAGTTCGAGGCCAGCATGGGCTACAGAGTGAGATCCAGGGCTACAGAGTGAGATTCAGGAGAAGGCACAAAGCTACACAGAGAAACCCTGTCTCGGAAAAAAAAAAAAAAAGACTCAGTAGATTTTTCATTATATGTAAGTTACTCATACATTCGTAGACACCCAGGATGACTCCATATTGTGGCATTTGTGACTAGTATTGGAAAGAGAGTGCTAATATCAGTTCACATACTGATTTCAGTTCTTTGGAAGTATATACCCAGAAGTGGAAATCCTGGTTCATATAGTGGTTCTGTCTAGTTTTTTTCTTTTTCTTTTTAAGTACTTGTCAACCCATTTCTACAAAGGCATACTAATTTAGTATTCTTTTTTCCTTATTCTTTCTTTTCTTTCTTCTTCTGTTTTGTTGTTGTTGTTGTTGTTGTTATTGTTGTTGTTTGAGGAGATACATGTTGTCATTCTTAAAATACATACAACACATTCTGATACACATGAGGTGGTAGCTCCTTGTGGCTATAGTCTTTATTTGATGGCTGACACTTGATTGTTTGAGAAATGGTGATTTCTTAGTTTCATTTATATTGTCTGAAGATGGACCTTCACTGTGGGAAATATGACATGAGAGGGTGAAAGCAAACCGCTCCAGTCAAGCCAAAGTGCAGATCTGGAGTCGGTCTAGAAACGCCCAAAAAGGTAAAACTATATGGGAGCAACTGTGCAAGTGAGTTAGATGATATGAAAAAACAGTAAGAATTGTGATTTAGAATGGGAACCAAAGGAGCCACACTAGTATTACACACACTGGATATGAGTTTTCCTGAGGAGAAGCACACCAGTATTTGCTTTTTGTAGGTGGTAAAAGATAATGATTCTAGATCCTAATTCACTTTTCGTACGCTTATATTAAAACTATAAAGTTAGGTGAAAAAAAAAAACTTCCTTTTAGAGATGTGAAAACTCAAGTTAGGTTGGACAATGACCAGATCTCTGCCAGAGGCATTCACCCTTTGCCCCATGTGCCCCAGAATATCTGTGAACGCAACCCTGCAGTTGTGTAGACTATATCATATTACCACATGTAAGATCAGACACCTCTGTGTTTATGCAATGATTTACTCTCTTATTTTAAAATGAGAAATCAGTCCAAATGAATCTTACGGCCATTCTGGCATCCATATTTCATGAGTCAAAATGTTTCTCTTTAAAAGAAAATAGGTATACTGAAACCAACTGGATAAAATACATACACAGGAAGATACTTTACCAATGGATAGACCTCATTAATGCTGGGTTATTTTTAAGCATAAACAACACTCAAGGTTTAGAAAAGAGTGGCCATTGTGTCCATACTCAAGTCTAATGGTGATTTTTAGTTATGTTCATTGCAAATAGTTTATATAGGGAGGTAACATCACAAAGTTTATTTTTGTCTACCTATTCATTATTTTGGGGCCTTTTGAAATGGCCTCACTATGTAGCCTAGGCTAGCCTTGCTTCCAGTTCTCCTGCCTCAGCCTCCCAGGAGCTGGAATTGCAAGCGTGGGCCACCATTCCTGGCACATCACATAGTTAAGTGAAGGTTATGGTAATAAGTCTTCGAAAGCATCCTGTCCCATACCTAATCCTTTATTCCGTTACAATTGCTGGGTGGTATACGTGGAGACAGAACCAGCTGACTGCACCAGGCAGCAGTCTTAGAGACAGACATTGTCTATAGTCTGGTCACTGCTGGACTCACAAAATCCAGATGGGATTGAATGCCTAAAGACTGAGTAGCTGTGTTTAGGAATCTCTTCTTTCTGGCTCCATATCACTTGACAATATCAATTGCTGTGGTGCTAAATACCATCACATGTATACTCTGAATGAATGCTACCACAAACGTACAGCACAGGTGTGACCTAGCTTTGTTACGAGGAATAGCAAAAGCCAACAGCTTTGTGACCACCCAAGCTCTTCTAGCAATCATCGACCCATACACCGTGCTCTGGGTCCTATTCTGTTCAGTATGTTAGGGACCCAAATGAATGTATAAAGCATATAATTAATTATATGAATCATCTCTAGTCAGGTGACTGCTACATGGTTTATAGAGATGCACAATAATTATTTTAATGGCTTTGTAATTGGAACATGATTCTATATAACCAGGATAAGCTTATAAGTAACAGACATGACTCATGATATTAACAGAGGGAAAAGGAGATAGCATGACACAGAAATTCCTGCGTGGAGGGGTGAAGAGTGAGGGTCAAAACTGGCCTGGAATTGAGTGTAACTTCTGAACAGTACCACTGGAAGGAAAAGAAGCCAACGTGGCTGGAAGTGTGGCGAGTCCTGTTGGAATGTGTGCAGTAGCACCTGTTTACAAACCCAGCACTCAGGAGGATAAGCCAGGAGAACCAAAAGTTCAAGGACAGCCTGGGGTACCAGTGAGATTGAGGCCAGCATGAGCTGAAAGGCAAGACCCTGTTTCAAAACCTAAGGAGGGAGGAAGGTGGAAGAAATCCTTACATTAAAACAGTCACACACTATGTAGGTTATCACACCCAAATTCTGAGTTGTATTAATATTCCTTTAAAGCTGTAGAATATAGCTAGAGATAAGCCTAGTGTGGATGATAAGAAAATCTAAACACTCCCAACTTCCCACTTGGGAAAAGCACCTTAAAATCTGTTATAAATGAAACATTTAGGAGTGACTTCAAGAAAATCCTTAAGAAGAAAGGCACTGTGAAATCTACTTTGTTTTCTTCTCACGTGCTTAGATTTATAGAGAATTTGCATTGACACAGGGTGATAATTAAAAAGAAAAACTGTGTCCGGTAGGGTGGCTTCACCTCAAACCCTGTAATTGAAGGGTGAGTCTCCTGCTCTCAGTGGAATTGGCTTGGCTCTGCCCTGCCTGGAGCTCCATGATTTTAATTCTGGAACTGGCTGTAGGCACTCTGAGTCTTCATCTCCTCTTTGGAGTCTGAGTAGCAGGCAGGGATTTAGGCACAGAGCACTGGCATCCTGAACCATGATCTTCAGTCAAGACTCCCATGCTCTAGGGTTTGTAAAGCACCTCAACTTCAAGGCAGACTTTTGGGGGACTCTGTGCCCCAGGAAGAGAAGCACCACAATATTGGCATCCACTAGACTAGCTTAAACTTCATTTGTTTGTGTTCAGGGTGTGTGTGTGCGTGTGTGTTTCTCACCACCTCTGGATTCTCCTCTTCCTCCCAAGGCAAGCCCTTGCCTTCACTCACTCGGTGTGGCCTCCTGCCCACACCAATCCCAGGGCCCTGTGACTGACTTGAAGAGAGGGTCATTGCTTGTGTCTTTTGTTCCCATCAGAAGCCACCCTTGCGTGTGTTTGTGGGTCCCCTTTAGTGGTCTAACTTCTTGAAACTGTGGTTTTCTTTCAGCTCATTAAGGTGGCTTTGGAGAAAAGCCTGGCGACCATGGAGACCCAGAACACATGTCTTCAGCCCCCTTCCCCAACAGGAGGGGACAATAACAGGTGTCTTCAGGAAGAAATGCTCCACCTGAGGGCTGAAGTCCACCAGCACTTGGAGGAGAGGAGGAAAGCTGAGGCGGAACTCAAGGAGCTGAAGGCTCAGATCGAAGAAGCAGGATTCTCCTCTGTGTCCCACATCAGGTATGTCCCAACGTTTCCCCCAGACGATGGATGAGCTACCTCAGGCAAGAACTTGCTACATCCCAGGCATGCCACAGGCTTCATGCCTTAATGCTTTTCTATACTCTTTAAAGCAAGGTAAGTGTTAGATAGCGATGACCACTTTTGTTAGGCAGATGATCTAGTCTTAATTTGATATAATAATGCTCTACTATTACTGCCCAGATGCATGGGAATTTGCTCCGCCCATGACCTTGGGCTACCTAGCCTGATTGTGACAGGCAGTGCTTCTTGCCTGCCCATGTGACTTCTTAAAGAGAAGGGGGAGTGGGTTGCAAGCTCTTTCTTGGATGTGGAAGGTTTCCTGGTGCACAATCTGGAGCTTTCCCCATTTTTTCCCTGGGAGACGAAGAAGCAACGACATCACTTCATTTTGCATCAGTGAGTCTGTTTTCCCCATAGAACCCCTTTATAAATTTATATATACCATTGAGGCTCTCGTTATGCATGTGTATGGACAGAATCTTCCTTAGTTGTATGGGTGCAGCCTTCTGGATCAAGTCCCATAATCACCTACCCAGGCAGCTTCACTGCTGTACAGAGAGAGCTGGGAGAGCCTTTGAGGAAGAGGATTTACAGCCCCACTGATCTCCATTCAACTCCCTCTCAGAAGCATACACAGTTGAATCATGGAATTGCAACTTTAATAACCTTTTCTGTTTCACTAAAATTATAAAAAAAAAAAGTGGCAAGTACTGATCCATTGACTACTTTGGCTGTAAGGGGATTTTTGAAAGAGAAAAAAAGCTGAAAAAGACATGATACTGTAGAGTTTCAGTGAGACGTCCTGTCTCAATTGATAAGATGGATATCAATAGAGGAGGACACCAGAAGTCAACCTCCACCTCCACATGGGTACACACACATGCACACATATGTATGCGTGTGCACACACACATATGCACACAATTATTAGTAAGCCTTGTTATTTTATTCTAGATGTCAGTATCACTCACCTCCGGGAGCCACATTCATCGTGGCATACTGTTACAGTAGCTGTGCGGGTGCAGGAATGCCAGTTGAGGACCTGTTCACTCCCTGCATATCCATGTCACTTAAACATGCCTGGTGTTACCCACTGAATAGGATACTGGACCCGGCCTGTTGTCTTTGTTTCACGGTTAAGGAAATTAATGTGTACAAAATTGCAAGTAACCTGCTCAAGATTTCATAATGCCAAGGCTAGACCCTTTCCTCCTGGTTTTTGTTACTTCCTCCTGATTTTGTTAGAGCATTCTCCTGATGCTCTAACTGAGCTAGCCAGCCAGCTGCACCCCCTCCTGATTGGTTAACACCAAAGCCTTTAATCTATAGTCTGTGTTTTCTTTTTTTTTTTCTTTTTTTTTTTTTTTTTTTGGTTTTTCGAGACAGGGTTTCTCAGTGTAGCTTTGTGCCTTTCCTGGAACTCGCTTTGGAGACCAGGCTGGCCTCGAACTCACAGAGATCCACCTGCCTCTGCCTCCCGAATGCTGGGATTAAAGGCATGCGCCACCACCACCCAGCTAGTCTGTGTTTTCTAAAATAACAACAACAATAAACAAACAAACAAACAAACACAACAAACGAAGATTCTGGGACAATGACTCCATAGACAACGTGCTTGTCACATAAGCACTGGGGCTTGAGTTTGATCCCAGGCAACCCCATGTTCCCATAAATCCCAGCACTAGAGGAAAATGGGGAAGGATCCTTGGGACTTGATGGGCAGCCAGCCCAGCCAATAGGTTAGCTCCAGTGTTTGGTTCAGCGAGATGCCCCATCTCAAAAGAGAAGGTGGAGAGCAGTCAAAGAAGATACCAGATGTCAACCTCCAGTCTCCATATGGGTACACACACACACACACACACACACACACACACACACACACACTTATTATTAAGTCTTGTCATCATTCTAGGTATCAGTTCTTTTATGTTGAATTGTCATGATAATTCTTCCCTTACATTTTACCTACGTTAAAATGTAAGTTTATTCAGGCATTCGTATGTGAATTTACTTGTGATGTCGTGGAGCAGAGTGTCTCCTTCTATGTACACCATGTATATATAACCTTGTAGGTTATTTTCACAACCTGAAAATCTGTGCTGCTCGGCCCTCCACCCAATCTTAAACACTGATGTGAAAAGAGAATACACCTAATGCTCAGTCCCTTGTTAAGCTTTACTCTCGTTAGTTTATAGTGTAAAAACATCAGGCCTTACCCCAACACAGAAGGATGTAAAACTAACTCAGTATTCTCTTCTATACACCTTCCTGTTTTCTCCTTCCTCCATGCTAATTTTGGCACAGAACTATACCTTTTTCTCCTTTGAAAATCTCTCTGAGTTCGATGTTCCAAAGTATTTTCTCCCATGAATCCACACCTAAAAATTTCTGCTTGAAACTCCAAAACTTTAGGATTCTGAGGAACCTCGTCTAGGTGCACACCCAGTACTGATTTTTGCATGTGTGTGTTCTAGCTCAGTGTTCTCAGTTTAGTCAATTTTATTACTTCAACAAATCGAGATGTTTTATGTGTCAGGCATGTGTGGTGGTCCCAGAAATACAGGATGAATAGGGCAAACACAGCATCTGCTCTCTGCAAGGTTACGTCCTATTTTGTGGACCAGGAATATGGCAAATAATTAAATAACTACATTTTTATTACAGCTCTGATCAGTATTATTTATTTTTCATATTCCTGAGCCCCAGTTTATCACTCAGTGATTTAAAACCAGAGATAAGTAATAAAATGATAAAATCCACAATAATAAATTTGTCTTGGGTAGGCTCCATCTTTAAAAAAAAAAACATAATATTGTAATTTTGCTTGTATATTCCAGAGGTCATGAATATTCAGCATGTGAAACTATGTGGCTAAGTAAAGAAAAATAGACTGGGGGTCTATTTCATGATTGTTTAATAATGCTGCCATCCAATGGCTAGGGAAGCATGTGTTGTGAGGCCATTCTTCCCTGCTCCCTCACTGGGTCTTCCAGTGCATGAATGAGGCATGTCACAGGTCTCTGGGATTCAGCTCTGTACTTGAATGGCTCTGAGTCTGTCACGCACTAAGATGTGGGTGAAAAGGTCTTTGAAGAGCTGTAGGCCCGGCTAAACCCGGCTCCGTGTTCTATGCTCTTGGCAGGAACACCATGCTGAGCCTTTGCCTTGAGAATGCAGAGCTGAAAGAGCGGATGGGAGAAGCGATGTCTGACGGATGGGAGGCCGAGGAGGACAAGGAGAAGGGCGAGCTGATGGTGGAGACTGCGGAGGCCAAAGGGGGTCTGGATGAGAGCAGCCTCCAGGCTGAGTTCAGGAAAGTCCAGGGGAAACTGAAGAGTGCCTACAACATCATCAACCTCCTCAAGGAACAGCTGGTCCTGAGCAGCTCGGAAGGGAACGGTAAAGTCAGGCCGGAGCTCCTTGTGCGCCTCGCCAGGGAGGTGGACAGAATGAACATGGGCCTGCCTTCCCCTGGGAAGCAGCAACACCAAGACAAGGAGAACGTGACCACAAGGCCTGGCCCCAGACCCCAGAGCCTCAGTCTTGGGGCAGCCCTCCCAGCGGATACCCACCACGTAAGTGAGGGCAGGGGTGAGGTGAGAAACTCAGGGAAGGGCCGGGGATTTCAGTTTTTACATTACACTGTTCTGCCCTGTGGGTCAGGAAGCACTCCTCAGTGCCTTGATGTTAGCAGCACGGCTCTGTAATCGGAGGCATTTGAAAGGGTTCCACACCATTGAAAGAGTGTTTCTGAGCATTTCATTCCAAGTGCGCTGGCGGTGGGTTATGAACTGCTGTCTGCCCTCCAGGTACTCAGCGTGTGGGGGAGAACGTTCAGACGCAGTGACTTTTCACTGGCTGTAACTGCCAGACTGTTGTGATGCTCTGGGCCTTGACAGGGCCCAGACAAATTGGGGTGCCATGCCATCTTCTTACCACTGCTGCTTCCTCGGAGGTTCCAGAGTGGTCTGTGTCATGGCCTCATGGGAGGTCACTGATACCCTCCTGTGGGAAGGAACTTGGCCTTAGATTCGGTGAAATGGAGAGTTCAAAGGCTTTCTGAGAAGGGCCTGTGGGGCAGGAATGCAGAGAAGGTGGAGTGGAGATTTCCACCTCTTCCTTTTAAGCAACTGAGTAAATGTTTGCTACAGGCTGATCTAGAGACTTGACTGGCGCTGTGCTACCATGCGCTCAGAGAGAAAGAGAAAGAGAACATTGTCCCAGCTCTCCAGGAGCTCTGTCTGGAACAGCTGGGGCAAACACATAATGCACACAGTCCCCGGCGGGCGTTCAGACAGAGAGGTGGCTCTCACCACATAGAGGGTGACCTTAGAGTGTCCTGATCATTGTGTTGGGTCCTTTCACAGCTGGAGAACAAGTCCCAGGCCCGAGACTCCGGACACCAGTCAGAGTTTAGCCTACCTGGGCCCACCAAACACCTGCGTTCCCAGCTGGCTCAGTGCAGACAGCGATATCAAGATCTCCAGGAGAAGCTACTCATCTCGGAAGCTACTGTGTTTGCCCAGGCGAACCAGCTGGAGAAGTACAGGGTCATATTCAGTGAGTGTCACCAGCTCGTGGTCGTCAAGGTGTACCCCCCCCCCCCCCGTGAAGTCACCTGTTTCTCAGCTTCTATCTTTCTACCCCAACCTGTGAACACTTCAGCCATGACTCCAGTCTTAGAACCGTGTGTGACTATTTTACTCCAACCTGTAGGTGGATGTAAAGAATAAAAGAAGAAGATAAGGCTTTAAAGTTACAGTGTAGGGGCTGGATAGAGCTCAGTGCTTAGGAGAACTTGCTGCTCTCGCCGGGGCATCCAACACCCTCTTCTGGCCTCCCGGGGCACCAGGCATGCCCATGGTGCGCAGATGTACACACAGGAAAAGCATTCGTTACATGGAAAATAAAAATAAACACATCTTTAAAGCCAGGGTGACCATAACGGACTGAAACAGACTACCATCTGGGCTCGCTGATTTCCAGGGCTGTCAGTAAGCTGACTTGGCTCTCTACAGGATGGGTTTTTCCTCCTTTGCACTTTAACAGAGTCTTCAAAATCCTGTCATCACTGTTGCTCTAGAGTCAGCCCTAGCCAAGGGAGCTTGCTGCATTGACAGGATGCTCTTTATTCACATAGGTAGGGCACAGGAACCTAAAATTGAATTTTGGCTAGTTTGATAAAGAGTAACCATGGGTAGGTAACTGCTACCTTATTGGACAGGGCAGGGATAGATGTCTCAAGACTCTTAAGCACTTCAGCCACATTGGAACCAAGACCTTGTAGATACAGGGCCTAATGATTTCACTGGAGCTTCCTAACATGGTAGTACGCAACTCTTGACTTTCCCATGTCTAGTCTCAACTAAGCCTCAGTTTTCAGAAGAGAGCCTCTCCATGGCAACCATGGGCTCACCCGGGTGTGTGTGTGGGTACCTACTACCTGTGGCAAGCTTTATCTTCTCCCATTGGAGTTCAAGAAAGCCTCTCTGCTAGCCTGGCTCTGACTGCTTGGCCTTAAAGGCCGGGGGTATGTGCCACTGAGGTTGGGGTAACACGAGGAAGGTCCGGATGCTCTGTAACCGCCACTGTCTCTTCCTGAACACAGGTGAATCCCTGGTGAAACAGGACAGCAAGCAAATCCAGGTGGACCTTCAAGACCTGGGCTATGAGACTTGTGGCCGGAGTGAGAATGAAGCTGAACGTGAGGAGACCACCAGCCCCGGTAAGTACACAGTGTGTGTGGGCCCCTTCTTCCCTGAGTCCTGTGCCCCATTTGGATGCCTTAGGCCACTCCCACTCGAGATGAGTAGTGGGTCAGGAGGAGAATGAAGGAGACCTAGGACCAGCAAAGGACAGGAACTTTGGAGAACTCTTCAAAATGAGGCAACCAGTTTGAACTTCTATAGCTTCCAGCACACTGCTAATAAAAAAAATAATTCAATATAACTTCTATTATAGAAAAAAATATCTAGTCCTTTTTATTATGGAAGAGAGCTGTGAGCTTTAATGGATACCTAAACTGTAAGTTTAGAATAAAATCTTTTCTTTTGTGTTCTCAAAGGACTATTGGGAACCACAGGATCCCTACAGATTGGAAGCTGAGGCAGTGTAGTGGGGAAGTGAGGGGCAGGGATCCAAAGACCAGAGTGCTTGGTTCAAACCCTCTTTTTCTCTATGCCTCCGTTTCCTGACCTGCTAAAATGGCAACAAACCAACTCTCCAACTCACCGGGTACTCACATCAATGAAATGGATAAGTTCTAGTAAAACACTCTGACCCACATGTTACTAGTAAAATGGTGACTCTTCCTGTCATCCTGGTGCCACCGCCCTGACCTGGCTTAATAGACTGACTGGAAGGTCTTGTTTCCCTTAGGCCTGTTTTTGTATGCTGTTGCAACCCAGGAGTTTTAAGTCATAGCACTTTTAGGAAACTGCAGAAGCCATTTGTTCTTGAGTCCTTGTGGTCATTTGAAAGCTATGAAGCTTTGTTAATGTCTCACTGAAGAGGCCCTGACTCACTCGTGTGTTAAGGACACGGGGCACCAGAGGGTTTGAACTCTGGGTCTGCTGTGTGCCCTGCACGGTCTGTGACTAGCTAGCTAGCTTACCACCTTCGGACTCCACCTGGAGAGCCTGTTGGATTCTCCAGGCAACAAGATGAAAGTGACTGTATCTTGCCCACAAGCCTGTTTAGGAAGAAATGCTAGATTCGAGTGCCCAGCATACAGCCAGACTTAAAGAGAGCATTGCTCCGGGTCTTACCCCAGCACTTTGATCACGTGACCAGCCTGCTCCCCTCAATCGAGTGGCCACAGCAGCACCCCCAGCTTCTCTTCAGGAAGATGTCTCTGTTTCTTTCAGAGTGTGAGGAGCACAACAGCCTGGGGCCCATGGTGTTCATGGAGGGGCTGTGCTCTGAGCAGGGGTACCTGGACCCCGTCCTGGTCAGCCCACCTGCAAAGAAGAAGCCTTTGGAGAACAAACCCGGGAGGCAGGACGAGTTCCAGATGCACGGAAATCCAGACGACAGCTCTGTCCTGAGGAAGGACATCAGAGATCTGAAAGCCCAGCTACAGAATGCCAACAAGGTCATTCAGAACCTCCGAAGCCGGGTCCGGTCCCTCTCTGCTACAAGTGATTACTCATCCAGTCTGGAGAGACCCCGGAAGCTGAGAACCATCGCAACCCTGGAGGGGTCTTCACCTCACAGTGTCACTGATGAAGATGAAGGGTGGCTATCGGACGGCACTGGGGCTTTTTACCCCCCAGGGCTACAGGCCAAAAAGGATCTGGAGAGTCTCATCCAGAGGGTATCCCAGCTAGAGGCCCAGCTCCCCAAAACTGGACTGGAGGGGAAGCTGGCCGAGGAGCTGAGGTCTGCCTCTTGGCCTGGGTAAGCGGGGGACTGTTTTGGGGGAGGGGGGGCCACTTGATTGATGCCTAAGTCAGTGCTTAGAACAGCGGCCCTGGCAGTTGTAAGGGAGAATGTATCCAGGTCATCAGAAGGACAGTTATTTAAATATTGGCTGAGCTGAGGGAAAACAAGGGATACCAGCATCCCATCGGATGGTGGCAGCAGATCTCCGAGATGCCCTGTTACAGATGTTAAAAACATGTCAGTTTAAGTGGTACAGGGTAGTGATGGAACTCGTCCCAGATGCCTGATGGGAAATCCTAGCTCTGCAACTCCCGAGCTGTGCAAACTAATCTTTCCCTATCTAGTTGCTTACCTACGAAGTGAAGATAAGAGAGGACCCAACTCAAGGACAGTTACTGGGCTTAGCTGAATTCTTACATGTGCTTCTAGTATCTGGAATATAGTACTCTCAATGCTGTTTTCAGTTATCTCGATTACCAATACTTTATGCTAAAAAATACTGAATGGACATATATGTCAACCTCTGTACCGATTCTACCGCTAAGTAATGAACCACTCTAAGACATGATGACTTTGCCATCTCTCATGGTTCTCTGGGCTGACTCGATTCGGTTGGATCTCCCACGTGGCCGCCGTCAGATGGAAGCTATGGCCAGAGTGATCTGAAAGGTCCTTCTGAGGTGGGCATGGAGTCTTTATCCATGCCTAGGATCCTGGTTCCTCCCTTTCTCCATGTGGCTTTGTCTTCAAGGATGTCTCCTTGATTCTGGTTTCTCATGGTGTCATAGTCCTTGGCAATGTTGCTTCTGTGTGAAAGCTAGTATCTAGGACAGGAGGTAGATCTTGCCAGGCAGCTAAAGAACTACTCCTTGGCTTGGCACAGTGATGCCTCCATTGTGTTGCCTGGGTTAGCATGGTCACAGCATCTTCCAGACTTAACTGTATAGAGAATAAACCTCCTCACTGACGGAGGACTGGCAAAGCCATGTTGGAGGAAAGCACGGGACGTGGGAGACTGTACTTACTGTCTTTGCAAAACGCCATCTGCCGCAGTATCAGAGCACAGAAGAAATCCACGCAGATGATGGTGTTTGAAATAGAAGATGAGAAAGTCCTAGACAGACTTAGGAGTAAAAAATTATAAATATTTATAGGATATCTATTGTGTGTCCACACTGTACTGGACTGT